TTGCTGTATTTATCTCTTTGAGTGGAAAACATTCTATAAAAATTTTCTGAACTATACTCATAAAAGCATCCCACTGATTATCTACTTCTAATGTCCCAAAAACAGATACGCAGTCTACATTACCTAACATGAATTTAAAAAAATGTTTATTCTCCTTTCTAAATAGTCTTTTTTATTATTATATTTGACTCAAATTCATTTAATTCAAATTTTACCTTTTGAGCAGTATGATCAGGTGTATGAGAATTGAATAAAAGAGAATCAAATTTTAGTTTAATTTAAAGTAACAAAGATTATCAGTTATCTATTATCCTGCCTACCAACTAAAACTCCCCTTTCTTGTGCGCAGTTGACTCACACGTACCATACTCAGAAAGTGGGGTGGCCGCTGTAAGGCTGACTACATTTTTGGAACACTTCCTCCTCTTATCTATTGTTCTGAAGCTATTTTCTTTTAGCATTTTAAAGTAATTACTATTTTAATGTGAATAAGCCATAATTGAAGGTTAAAATAAGTTTATTGACGTTTGACATTAATCCAACTTGTAAACGCTGTCAAATTTACAGAATGCCACAAGTGTCATGATAAACTTTGCAATAGAATAGCTTTATTTCAACCATCGCAATTATCAGTAATTTTTCTTTTTATATGAGTATCGCATAAAATGGATGTCTCAACATAGTTACTCAAGACTTAACACTTCGTACGACCCTTTACCACTCTCTCCTTCATGGGAAACAGCAGACCATGGTTCCATCTTTCAAATTATGAATTCCGAAAACACTAACTGTTAATGTTTTTGTAACAGTAGAGATCTGGCAAAGGTATAGTCATGAAATCTATTATAATTGCTTTGAGGTAATTAAAAACTTTTTTGCTCCTGCGCTTACGAACTATCAACTCAGCAACAGCCACTCTGTTTGTGTGTCATTTAAAGATTTATTTTTGATTTTTAGTTGTTACTGGTTTGTTGTTTGGTTTACTTGTCTATTAAATAAGTTACTTCCTTTTTACGTATATTTTCTTTGATTCTATTACCACTTCTAATTTAGCAACAGTGTTTCGCAACTAGATATGGATCTTTTGCCATTTATAAACATTTTTAATTTCCTTTCTTCAATATTGCCTACTGCAGAATGAAACAAGTTATGACTTAAAACATATATTTAATGAAAACTGCCCATTTTAACAATGTATTCAGTCGAATTAAAAAATGAGAGAGTATCAACAGAAGTGAAAATCTTTATAGACAGAACTGGAAAGCCTCTTTTATGTTCAGAAAAATATTTAATTTCACTGAATCTCAAAATACATTTAAAACAGTTATGTTTTTTATTTGTTTGCTTAAAAAGTTTATGTCATAAAACTAATACAACGGGATGTCAAAGGACTCAACAGTTATATCTGTAACAGTTATTGACAGAAAGAAAAACGGAAGGAGGAATAGGGTCTGGAACCCCAGTTCGATACCTCAAAATGAATAAGAATATGAACAGAAGAAGATTGACCACAAATCCAATAAAATTCTTCCTTGGATAAGAAGGAACTTATATATTAAATTTCAAGGCTCTAGGATTTTTTCTTCAAGAAAGAGTAAAAACAAGAATATGAGAAGAAAAAGACCTATTTGCTACAAATAAGTTTTCCTTAAATTAAAAGAAAAGTAAAAAGATATAGTATATGGAGATGAGAGGAAATAATGAACATTTAGGACAGTTTTGAAAAGTATCTGCCCCAAACAAGGAATATAACTTTATGATAGTTGGACAGTTCGATTATTTGGGAGTAGCGTTAACAAATAGAAATGAAGAGACTCAAGAAATCGAAAAAAAGATGGCTAAAGGTAGTAAAAGCGCTGAAACTCTATAGATGCTGAGATCAAAGAAAATATACAGAGGAGCAAAAAGAAAAGTGTATACAACGGTTATCCGATCAACGGTGCTTTATGCCAGCGAGACCTAGATCTTCAGCAAAACCATAGAACTGAAGCTAGATAGATAGGAGCGAAAGATACGCAGAAGAATATATGGAGGTATAAATAATATCTGGAGAAGAAGACCAAATAATGCAAATATATAGACAACAAAAAATTTCAAAAGATCACAGACTTGATGGCTTGGGCACGTAACTAGAATGCAGGACGAAACAGTTCCCAAAGCATTAATAAACACTGAAGCTGATACAAAAAGGAAAAGAGGACGACCACAATGAAAATGTATGGATTCGGTAAAGGAAGGCTTGGGATTGATAGGAGTAGAAAACTGGAGAAACCTAGCATAAGATAGAAAGAAATGAAAGAAAACTATTGAAGCCTTGGGCCTCTAGGGCCTGTTTGAGCTGTACTTTTCAGAACCACGTCTTTCGGGCCAGTATCGTTCCTGAATTAACCGATCAATAAATAAATCGGTAATTGATTTTTAAAATTAAATTATGATCGATTTGCGGTACAGGCATGCAACTTACATTACATTTACAAATTTCGTAAGATGCCAAGTTGAAGTTTTTTCTTTTCAAGAGAGTAAATTTTTCTCAAACCTGTCTATAGAAACTTTCACTTCAGAATAAATTACATAGCTCACATTAAAAAAACTATGCAACTTGTCAACATAACAAAATAGTGGAATTATTAAGTATCTACCTATCTACATATAATTTATTTTTTTACATTTTATAATAAATATGACAATTTAGACAACAATTATTTAACTAAACCTACACATAGTGTTATATAATATCAGTCTCAAATAGATTTCCGGTGATCAAAGTAAATTTTTAGATCAAAGACATAAAACTACCTAAATTAATTGAAAAGCGGCAAAATGCATAAAAACGGTTAAAATTGCTGGTATTATTAGAATCATTGCAGTGTAAATGTATATTTAGAAAAACTGAAGGAATGAAATTTGGTATTTGATAGAGAAATATTATATTAAAGTAAAATACAAAGAAAATCATAGAAACAATTAAAGGGCTTGGAGGAAAAGGTAAGAAGCCACATAAATCTAAAAAATTAGATTTCCTCTAAAAGATATCTGCAAGTGTGCAACGAAACTGTTGATCGATTATTTCAGTTATTGATAAAGAGATATCGCCTCTATACGCGAATTTCTTTCATAACAATTGCCAAAATTCAGAACTTTTTGGTTTGAAAAGGAACATGCCACAGGCGATTTTCAAGATGGATAACTATAAATTACGCCGAGCTAAAAGAAAAGTTGATTTTGAGAGTATTAGTGGAAGTGAATTCTCTGATTTTGATTCAGATGACGATCTGAATGATAAATATTACAGTGTTATTGAAAGTGACTGTTCAACAGAAGGAGTTGGTAACACATATATTGGTAAGTCTATTTCTATGCGGCTTATTCCCTTTTTTAGCAAAAGATTTTGTTATGTTTAAGTTTATTATAAAATTTCATATTTTACCCATGTATCGAAATATGTATTGTTGCCTTTACGTAAAATACGTCTACATAACGCAGTAATGTTGTGTAACTACGATGTGTACTGCGTTATATCTCCGGCTGCAGTATTTTTGTTCATATGCCTAGCAGAATTTCTACGAAAAATGTGTGTGGCTTATTACCTTATTGCAAAAAATTATACATCTTTTTTTTCAGGGCGAAAATGATTCCAACGATCTCTCGGATCAGAAACAAGATATTTCTAGAGGTTATCTAAGTTTTCCAGAAAATTCAACGCCCTCACGCTGGAGAAAAGTTCATTCTAAGAAAAGTGACCGGTAGAAAACAAGAAGAAATCTGGGCCATGGGTACAAAACATACTAAGGGACTGAAATGGAACCTAAAGCTATTGGAGAACCATGTAAATGCAAACACAAATGTAGTACAAGCCTGATGGGGAAAGAAGAAGAAATTTTTCATGCATTTTGGAATCTGGGGACTGGACAGCAACAAAATAACTACTTATTTGGTAGAATAAAATGCATTCCCAAAAAAAGAAGTTACCCAAAAAAAATCAAACGCCAAACATCTTGTAGAAGTGTATCATTTAAATATTATATAAAGGTTAATGCCACCGACAAATAAGTATGCAAATCTGAATTTTTGGCAGTTCATGGTCTCCAGCAGTCAAAAAAGCGGATATATAATATATGTTGCTAAATAAAGGAAGGAAAGTCTACTCCAAAAACTGATAAGCGAGGAAAACATATGAACAGAAAAAAACAAAATATCTGAAGAGAGAATTCTGTCCATCCATCGACATATTCAAGCAATACCCAAATATTCTAGCCATTACAGCAGGCAAGATAACCCCAACCGCACTTACATCAATCACGATTCGTCCATATCATCTTTATATCAGATTATTATATACCTTGGTGCAATGCCAAACATATTGTCCCAGTGAAAGAAAATTATTACAGAAAAGTTTTTTGCTCGCAATATAATATAGGATTTAAACTGCCAAAAACGGATACATGCCAAACATGCGATTCATACAATGTCTCGCTCGAATCAAAAAGAAAATTCTGAAGAATGTCAACAAATTAAGTTAGAGTTGCATCAAAGAAGGGCTGAGGCGATGCAACAGGACTTGATAAAAGAGTCTGCACATGCGAAATTAATAGATGAAAAGGAAGTAATTTCATTTGATTTACAACATGCATTGCCTGTGCCGAATTTGACTGTGGGAAAAGCATTTTATTTGGGAAAGGCATGGATGTACAATTTGGGCATCCATAACTGCAACAGAGAGCAGGAGTACATGTTCACTTGGACCGAAAATGTGGCAAAGAGGGGTAGGGATGAAATTGCCAGTGCACTACTGAAATATATCGAAATGTTCCTAACAAATACTGGCAATAAAGAGCTTATCATTTACACCGATAACTGTGGGGTCGAAATAAAAACTGGGCTCTTATGTCAGTATATATGTAACTAGTCAGAGACAAACAGTTTTTGGCTATCGAACATCGTTTTCTTGTAAGTGGGCAAACGCGCTTACCCTCAGATCGTGATTTCGCCCTAATTGATAAGCAAAAGAAATTTACGGCACAAATCTATCATCCCAATCAATGGTGCGACGTTATAAGAAAAGCCAAAAAACCAATCCATTTGAAGTTATCAAGATGCAACAAAAAGATTTTATTTCCTTTGACGAGCTGCAAAGGCAACTAACAAAAAACAGACGACAGACGAAAAAGAACCTTTACGTTCTAGTCAAGTTAGATGTTTTAGATTTGAGGCGGATGAACCCAACACAATGCTTGTGAAACACTTTTTAAATGAAGAGTTTAAATCGGTCAATATTGTAAAGCGAGGAGTAAAAGATGGAAATCGAATAAAAAATCTAAGAGATTTTCCTCCAAAATATACCACATCTGTACCTCTTAACGAAAATAAGCTAAAAAATTTAAGGGAACTCATGCCTTATATTCCTTTAGTTTATCACGACTTTTACGTTGAGCTGGGCGTTCGACAGCAGTCAACAGACCTCGCAGAAGATCCGGAAACGGAGAATTTTGACTTGGACGAGTAAAATAGAAACATCGTCTTAGATAAGAAAATCTTACAACAATGTTTTTGTAAAAAAGGAGTAATCCACGTTGCTCAAGAAAATATTTTTTTCATAAATCACTTGTCAATATATTTTTTTCATCTCTTGTATAATCTCAATTCTGTCACTTAAACCATTGTTACGACCCGCCATTCAATTATGAATATCCGAAACTATGAAAAATCGAAGGTGACATTCAGTAATTTACCAATTATTAGGAATAACTAACAGAAGAATGAGTGAAAAAAAAAGAGAAGTATAAAGGAACCAATTTAGATTTAATATCAGCAGATACGATTTTTATTAGAAAGTAGTTATGGAAAAAGTCAATCAATAACTGTCTTTTATGGAGTATAATTGATCTTGAGAAAGCATGGGATAGGATATCTAAGATATTCAAATAATCCAAAAGTTAATCTCTGGATTCGATCAGTGATATCTAATTAGTCTGGGGTCGAGTAACCCTAAAGTTTACATAAATATATTTTTTGGTGTTTTTTTTATGTTATCTGATGAATTAAATGACTGGTTTGAGCTTGTTATCTGAAGACTGGTTTGAGCAGAGTTAAACTTTGATTTTTACAAACTTATTTCAATCAAAATATTATCAAAATAGTTTTTTTTTTCAATGTTAGGTACTTTTGAAGCCGATAAAAAATTATTTTTAATACTTACTTTGGAATAAAATTACATAAAGAACTTTTACGATTAGAAAACACTTATAATGTGATAGAGAAGGTGTAGCAGATTTAGAAGTATCTACAAAGGGTACGGTAATAGTAAACAATCAAAATGTCGATAATGTATAAATTTGAAACTGAATATCAGAATACTAAATTAGTTGTATGGGCAGGATATATAATGTAACTACTCTCATTAGAATGAAAAAAAAAAAAAAACAAGAAAACTAACCTATTTTGCAGAGACAGTGAAACATCCAGAATAGTACAACTCTTTGCACCTTGTGATACAAAGAAACAACAGTAGGAAGAAGAGGTCCAAGAGAAGCCTTGCGGCCTAAAAACCTAAGCCAATAGTATGCAAAAATAGCCAAATCCCTATTTTAATCTAGATAATAAGGTAATAATCGTCCATATAAGTATAAAATAGATGTCTTGCAATTACTGGGATTACTAACTATTACCAACATGTTATTGAAATATTCTCTCTCCTTCCATTTCACCAAAATTAAACTTACTAAAGTATGAATGTTTCCACTAGCTACCGCCAAAACCTAAAAAAATAAAATAGTTTTAAAACAATATTACAAAGAGAGATGAGTTTACAGAAAAATGTTAATTATAAACTGAGGGGTCAGACGTAAATGGGTTAAGTGCAGTTTTGATAGCTCTGAGATAATCAGCGTCAAAGTTGTTAGAAAGTTATATAGATCTACTTTTTCAATAACATGATAGAAGAATATTTTTTAATTCAATTTGAAACATGCTGTCCTCACAACCTGACAATTTTTTTCAATATTTACTAAAACATAATTTAATAAATAAATATTTTACCTATACCAGATATAGTCATCATTTTCTATAAAACATCACAATTTATCCTTAATTTTTTTTGTACTTCAAAATCCAAGGATGAGTTAAAACTTGGCCTAATTCAGGCCTCAGTTCTGGTTTAACAACCAACAATTTTTTAATGAGATCGGCTGCTTCTACTGATACATAAGATGGTACTATAAATTGGGCTCGACTTATCCTTCTGTATGTTTCATCGTAACTTTGGGATTCAAAGGGTGGACGCCCGGTAAGGAATTCATAACACAGTACCCCAAGACTCCACAGATCTACTTTTTCATTATGTGTTTTGCCTGTTACCATTTCAGGAGATAAATAATCTAAAGTGCCACATAGAGTTGATCTTCTTGAAGATGGAGCATGTACTGACCAACCAAAGTCTGCTATTTTTATTTCCCCTTTTGAACCAAGAAGCAGATTTTCAGGTTTTATATCCCTGTGTATAATTTTTTTGGTATGACAGTACCTTAGTGCATCTGCGATTTGTTCTATATAAACAGCTGCAATATCTTCTGAAAATCTTTTGTATGGACTTGCTGATAATTTTGAATAAAGTGCTCCTAAAAGAAAAATAAAACATTAAGATGTATTATATACAGTGTAGGTAAAAGTTTATGGTCGGTATGGACCTTTGTGAGATGGAGTGAGAAACATCTGTTTAAACAGAGAGAGGTATATTAGCTCCGCCCTTTATATTGCCGAACATGCATGCGTGGATATAATAAAAAGGGGGAAGTTCAATGTTGCCAAACTTATTGGTTTTATTTGACCTGTTATCTTTTTAGCATTTGAACAATGTTCTAAGATAATCAAATTTGGGCGAAATGGATTTAAATGGCAGCTTACTGCACAGTTTCCCAGTATGAAATAATAAACTGCATACAATAATGCCATATTAAAAAATTTTTCATACACAATTATTTGGCAACATCTGTCTGGTCAAAGCACTGAATCAAAGTAGGTGAGGATCATTGTAACTCGTTGATGTTTTTATCGTTAAGAGCATAGGTGCAAAATTTCGGGCCAATGCTTTTTAAACGCATTCATTTTTTCGAATCCTGAGAAAACTAATAAATATTTTTGAAAAATTTAAACGCAGAATGAAACAATACATTATACTGAGGGCGAAAGTCCTGAAAACTTCTAGCTATGATGATTATTTTAAGAAGTTACAGTTTGAAAAAAAAAAGAAGACAATTTTACTGTGATTTTTAATTTCAAATATCTCATTCAAAAAATTTTTGCAAAAGGTTAGAGAATGGTTCTATTGGATGAACTGTAAAAATTATGTAAGATGATGCCAGAAATGTGAACTGTGTGCAACCAGTAATGGTCCAGTTGGTAAAAAGAAGGCACCCATGAAACAGTACAATTTGTAGTCCTATGGTAAGAGTAGCAATCCACATTTCCATTTTGCAGGTCCATTTCCAGAAACGAATGATGGAAATAGATATATCCTGGTAGCCATGGATTATTTTACAAAATGGACTGAGGCCTATGTGATACCAAATCAAGAAGCTGTTACTGTTGCATAGGTACTTGTTAAAGAATTCTTTAGCCGATTTGGTGTCCCCTTGGAAATCCACTCCAACCAAGGGCAGAAGTTTTGCAGAATATGAAGTAACATATTTAGTTTTGCAGATACACATTTTTTTTGGTTCCTGCAAAATAACCATTTTGGAATGTGTACCCTTTTCACCCATTTCTCACCCATTCAATTTTAAGGTCAATCACTTGAATTCCAGAGGCTTGAGATTAAATTAAGTTAAATTTAAACAAGAATATATTAGAGAATCAGTTACATTATAAAATAAACAAAATTAATCAAAAATTGTAAATGTTGTTCATATCTTACCATTAGGTGCATATTCAAGAATTAGATAGACTCTAGACTCATCATGGAAATAACCATACATTATTAAAATATTAGGATGTCTTAAATGACTTTGAATTTCAATTTCCCTTCTAACTTGATGTTCGTTTTTAAACTCTTTAATCGCAGTTTTAAAAAGAACTTTTAAGGCAACTAAAAATTTAGATCTCTTTTCACGAGCTAAGTACACATTTCCAAACTTGCCCTTTCCTAAAGGTTTACCAATATCGAAATCTCCTAACGTCCACTTCTGTTTTTCTTGCTTAGCTGTCCCATCCGAGTTTTGTCTGCCAGTATTTTCCGCTTTACTTTCCTTATCATGTACATTATCTTTTATAGTTTTTTTATTTTTCTGACCATCAAAATATTTTGTATTTTCCTGCACTATAGTTTTTGGATCATTTTCTTTATTTGAAACATGTTCTTCCTTTAAAGTTGGTTTCTGAGCCATTCTTCAAGTTGACAATGTAACAATATGCGATGTGCATTCAACGAATTATAATAATCTTGCTGCTTTTAAAATTATTTTGCAGTAAAAGTAAAATTTGTGGTTTAAAAAATGTCAGTTTTTTATTTGAATATTCAACCAAATTCAACGGTCGTTTTCAATTTTCACTCATGTCTACTGTCACAAGTCACTTCACATTCCCGATTATTTTCGCCTAGTTATCGGTTCAAGATGAGTGGCGGTGCCGGTGCGGTGCGTGGATATTTCTGTGGTGACTATCAAATATTTACAAATGAGATTAAAGCTAGAAGAACGCAACATTTAAAAATCTATAGATATGTTATAAAATATCAAACATCATATTTCATCGTTTTTCTTCATTTTTATATTCAACATTTATATTTATTATATTTCATTTTGTAATCAACTTATTCTATTAAATCTAAAATTCACTTCAACTATAAAAATGAATGGATTTTTTGCATGTCGGAAAATTTGAACTGATTTGAATACTGTTTTGCGTTCATGCGTTCTTTTTGCTTAAATACCCATCTTATCTAGGCATAAACCAAATTTAAAATTAAACTGTGACTTGTGACCTTTGGTCTAATCCTAGTAGTATCGAAAGATATATTCCAACATTTCTGCCCCCATTTCCAAAAAGAAGAATGTCATAATGTTCTACAATAAAGAGAATAACCTACAAAATTAAAAAATTTAAATTACAATGTCCAAATATTGATATGTAGAAGAGTATTAAATAATTGTAAGAAGATCAAACATGTTTAAATATAGTTAATGCTCTAAATTACATTCGAACTCAAACGGATCTTTGTTATATAAAAATAATGCCTCTTTAATCTCAAAACGATCATTTTTCAACTTATTCAGAAAGCCAACCAGAGAGAAGCTATTTATTTTAGATATATTCCAGATCATGTTTGAATTAATTCATAGAATGAATGGAGCGATAATATCCTAATTACCCGGTTCGGACGGCATTACAGCTACTATCGTTTTTTTCTTGATCATATTCAATATGGGTCTCCTATGAATCAGATGGAGTTTATAGGCACTCGCACAGATGTACAAAACGTCGACAAAAAATGAATTTGAGATTTATTTAGCAATATTTACTGGAATTGTGGTAATGTTGCAATTATTGATTACACAAATGCCCTTAAGGGATATACTATTCATCTCCCCTTAAAAAGTATATTAGATAACACCCTCACATCTACCTTTTGATAATAACCGTTTAAATTTCATCAATAGGACAGCTTCAAAAATTACCAATGTCTGGAATATTTACCATGGTGAGAGCTAGATACAGGATAAAATATGAAAATGATCAAAGAGTTTAATGTTACTGGAGGACCATTTAAGGAAGCCTGCGGATCTATATGGATAATTTAGGAGTTCAAAGGGATCTAAACATGAGCAAGAATAAAATTAGTTTTAAAATTGTACATTTTTTTGTTTTAAAAATATAATAATTTATTAATACCTAGATGTTTTCGTCCTTCAATACATTAACGTTAATTTTGTATAACTCTAAGCAATGAGTGAAATAAAATGCATACAAAAACACAAATAAGTGTAAAAATCTGCTACTCTTGCTCAAATTACGTCATACAGTATGGTGGAAATGAAAGGAATAAATTCGTTATTTTGTAAACCAGAGACTTTTAAGGAAAAATCCTGAAACCCGTTCGATTTTTATTTTTAAATAAGCTATTCGTAAGAATAATGTTTTTATTTTTGAATGTCATCTTCTATGTGAGCGTGATGACGTCATTGCTAATATTTGTAAATAGAAAGGGGGTATTGTAATACATCATTTGAAAGGTCTTTTAAAATACCTATCACCCTATATCAATATGTCTGAGTATTTGATGTTTGTAATTGTTTAAAAAAATATTAAATTTTATTATTACAATAAATAGTTATTAAGTATTGATATGATGTAATTATTGACACCCAAAAATAAATTTTATAAAGGCCATCAGTGGTAATGAAATGTCTTTTTATCTACTTCTTACCTTTTTAAAAAAACTAGTTACCTTATTAATATGAACATTGATAGTTGGAAATCAACTTATTTATCTTTCTGTCAAGTGATTATTAGTATTACTGTAGTAAACATAGTTCAAAAAAGTCTTTGTATCTTTGAACATGAGAGCAAACTGAAACGCAAAGAATTGAAATTTCTTTATTGGGTATGGTGATAAAACACACGTACGCAGAAAGAAGTATGCTGTTATTTAATAATAAATACCGCCTCAAGATACCAATTTCACAATCCACTGTAAGCAAAATTGAGAAAAAAGTTAGAGAAACAGGTCATGTTAAAGACCTTCAGTAAATGTAGTAGAAAACCAATATCTAAAAACCAACAAGTAAGTTTCTGTTAGCTTTTCAAGATAATCCTCATAACAGTTCACAGCAAGTAGCAATAGATAATGACATGGACCATTCAACAGTTTCTTAAACAGCTAAAGAAGGAAAAGTGGCATCCTACAAAGTAAAATTAGTACAACGAACTTATGGAAGATGATTTTGATAGACGAATTGAATTTTGTGACATTATAATGGAACGAAATAACAGAGATCCGATGTTTTTTAAAAAAGATTATTTTCTCGATGAAGCTACATTTCTACTAAACAGTCATGTCAATCGTCAAACTTATCAGTACTGGCTACAGAAAATCCACACTGGATGCAAGAGTACCACACTCAATACCCAGAGAAAATTAATGTTTGAGTGGGATTAATAGATAATAGGATTATTTGACCATACTTTTTTGAAGAAAACTTAACAGGTCCTCATATTAAGGATTTCTTCAAAATTTCTTGCTTCCAGAATTGAACCGGTTGTTTCCAAACAGAAATGATTTATGACTACAGAAAGATGGTGCGCCCCACACTATGCTGTCTTGTACGCAACTAACTTAACAACGTCTTCCAAATCGGTGGATAGGTCGAAGAGGAACAATAGAATGGCCGCCTAGGTCACCTGATTTGACTCCTCTTGATTTCTTTTTATGGATATTTAAAAAGTAAGGTGTATCAAAATAGACCACAAAATATTAATGAGCTGAAAGAAAGAATATGTAATCAGGTTGTTCAAATAACTCCAGAAGTTTTAGAGAATGTTAGAGAAGAGTTCGCGGCACGCCTTTCTCATTGTATTTTAGCTGAAGGTAAACAATTTGAGCACTTAATTTAGGTTTCGTTGTATTTATTGAATAATACTTAATAAATATTTATTGTAATAATAAACATTTAATTATTTTTTAAACAATTACAAACTGAATAGTATTTAAAAGACCTTTCAAATCATGTATTACAATACCCCCCTTTCTATTCAAAAATTTTAGCAATGACGACATCACGCTCACATAGATGACGTCAAAAATAAAAATGTATTCTTACTAAAATAGCTTATTTACATGGGAAACTCACGTAAATCATGTATCAGCAAAGTTAAGTACATGTAGCTATATAATGCGTAATTTAAGAGAAACTGTCTCATTTGATATATTGCGAATTAATTACTTTAGTTTAGTCCAGTCTGTACTTTAGTATGGCTTAAATTTTTGGGTTGCTCATCTCATTTTGAACGGGCATTTATAGCTCAAAAGAAAGTTTTAAGAAGTATGTATGGCGTTCCATTTTCAGATAGTTGCAAGCCACTATTTAAGAGGTCTAATATTTTAACACTACCTAGCCTTTTAATTTCCAATTAATATTGCACATTGAGGAAAACAAGCTCAAGTTTGACAGAAATGAAGACATTCACTCACATGATACTAGAGGTAAATCAAATTTTCGACAACCTTTCACTAGATTAGGTGTATCCCAACATGCACCCGAATATATTGGAATAAAATAGTCAATATATAACTCTCATAACTTTAGTTCTTATTTATTTGATTGTAATCACTGTTTTATTTTAATCATGTCTACTTTTACTATATTGTACTCTTTTGTACTAAAATTTTGACTAGTCCGTAAGATTTAAACATTTTTTTTGTAAGAATTGTATAAACTTTGTGGATGAATAAATTCTATCTATCTATCTATTCAGCATAATCGGAGAATTTTATTTTAAACATTTTCTTTCGGCTGAGGTAAAAAAAGTATATTGAGTAAAAAGAGTTTAGGAAAGGATTCAATAAGAATTCAAAATCTGTAAATAAATATTTATTATGTTTCCTACAGAAACTAAATTTGTTCATTCATTTGTTTGATAAATACATTTAGGTAGTCATCTCAAAAATAACAAGAACACACATAATAGTTTCAGCTCCGCTATTTAGATAACATTCAAACAATATAAAAATATAAATGCGGTATATACCAGTACAGCATCAGTATATACAGTACAGTAATACAAAACATTCAAAGGAACTGAAATACAAAGTGTTAGCAATGTACATACAAAACGATAAATATTTTGTTAAAAATTTTACTAACTAGTAAAATCACTGGAAGTATGTTGTTTAATAAAATAAATGTTAACAAAAGCTGACATCTTTGTACATCTAGAAATATGTGATTTTTTTTTATAGTTTGTTAAAGAAAAGACTACATTATGATCAATGAAAGATACCATAATGCTGCTAAAACCGATAAAGCATATCCTGGATCAGACGTGGCCTCAGATTACAATCCACTTATCGCCAAGATTACACTTACCCTTAAGAATATTAAAAAACATCAAAGAATCCCTACAATAGGCACAAGAAAATTTGAAGGGAACTAACGTAAAAGAATGCCTCCAACATGAACTGCAGCAAATTGAGCACAAACACCAATGATATTGACTAATACTGGGATCGACAAAACATTGTCTACTGGAACTCTGTAAAGAAATACTAAAGACTTCCGTAAGGAGAAAAGAAGAATGGATGAATGACGAGATAAGCTGGATTTATAGTTTGACGCACTGTAGACGTAGACGCACTGGAGACGTAACAAACGGACTGTAAATAATTTTCATTTATAAATCGACGGAGTGGAATTTTTTGGCGCATGAGTAGAAACAGCGGATAAAGTTGGTGACCATGATATCATTTTATTATTTATTATTATTATTTTATAAATTCTTAACCTCCATTGTAACAAATAATCAAGAAAATAAAAATTCGACTATGTTAATAAG